TGTCACACGAGACAAGTAAAGGTCACAAGTGACTTTTAAAGGCTCAAATTCATATAAAAGCATAATGTCACAAGTAAAGGTAATGATATTTGACGTACCTTATACCAGAAAATACAGAATTCGCCCAATTACTTGGAACATAACTTAGAGCTACTAGGTAAGCTCTTTGATCTGTCATCCTAATCTGATGTAAAACAACTTTAAATTTTCTTTCCGTGTACTTGTGTGCAGCAAACTCCAATAATTTTGAAATACGTTGAGCAGCACTTGAGGCAAAAACTCATCTCTCTAAGCTTTAATTTATAATTCTCAAAGAGATGAAGTACATATCTAGAGTGGTACACATCTAGAAATATATCTTTTAAAGATTGTTTTATTCCTTTGTCGGCATCTGACAAAATTACTAGAGGATGGGGTGGATTGTATGATTCTGTTCGATTGTACAAAATATACCGCGATCCTTGAATAAACCAACTCTAATTTGCTTCATTTTCTTGGTCACAAACACAAAATACGAGTGGAAATATACCTTGATTACCATCATAAGCTGTCACACCTAATAGGATCCCTTTGTAGCGATCCTTCAGAAAAATCCCATCTAGAAAGAGCAATGGCCTACATCCCTTGAGAAACCCTTGTATGCATCCACCATACGATACAAACAAATATTTGAATCTCCTTTCCTCTTGTTCAATGGTGAAGACACTGCCTGGGTTTGTTTTCATCACCTTCATTTGGTACCTAAAAATGATGGTTAAATCACAAATAACTTGTTAAATGATGAACAAGATCTAACTATCACATGTAATACTCAAAAGTCACAAATAAGGTCAAAATATCACATATAAGGTCTAAATGTCACATGTAGGGATTAGTTGTCACATATAATGTTAAAATATCACATTGGACGTGTATCTGTCACATAGCGTTTTGACATGTCACATTTACGGTTCACCATGATACATATACATTCTAAAGGAGACATCAACAATTCGCGTGGACTAACTAGGATAGTAAATCATATGAATGCCTTGTGCAACCAAATACTTGGTCTTTTGCTATCTCCTTAGCACGCCAAGCTTTAGAATAATTAACTCTTAATCCATATTAAGAGTGCAACTCCTTTCTAATGTCAGTTGGGGTTATATATGGACGCCTCTTCATAATTGATTATAGCATACTCGCAATCCACCTTCTTGATGCTCTGAAGTGACCAACTGTGTTGTTATGTTATCCACATGTATGTTGAGGAACAAATTTTTTTATGGCCAAGGTCGACACATGGCTCAATGGTGAAGTGAAAAGCAACCACGTGCATTTTGTTTCTTTTCTGAACATGCAACTAGCATGAATACGTTTTGGCTCATTGTTAACATATTTAAAAGCAAACTTCTTAGCTATAGAGTAGTATATAAGAGCCATTCTAACTTCTTTTACGCTTTCAAATTGCTACCCTTTTTAGTAATTGCCTCATGCCACCATGTTGGATCCGTGACGAGTCACTTACTACGTCGTTCATCATCCACACATGCTCTCCTTGAGGGTTGTCGTTTGGGATCCTTTCTGATTCCTCGATTGTGATCCTCTCATAAGGTTCCTCGATATGCTCTGATGACTGTGAGCTTACATTAGAAACGCTGCAAGTTGAATGTAAAGGTCACCTATAAGTCACGTGTGATACTTACCAGTAAAGTCACATATAAGACCTAAATATCACAAATAAAGTCAATATGTCACAAATAAAGTCAATTTGTCATGTTGTATGCCTTCAAGTCACATATATCACGTAATATGGCACGTGTATCCAGAACCTGAAAATATACTTTTGAATACGTACTTACGCTCTGTTTCTGTCCCTATGGCATGGGTGGGTCCTTCATCTCTTTTAGTAATAGTCATGGTTACTGTAATTAACCCCATTGAACGATGATAATCTATCATGTTGAGAATATCTTCATCTTTTGAAAGCTCAAATGAGACATTGGGAAACTTCTTGATAGAGTATCTTATCAACAAACTTTCGTACGATACTTTAAAATTCTTTGCAGCTTGCATCTTCAATTCAGCTAAACTTGTTGCCAAATTGACTTTAATGAGGGTTGCATTACTGTTAAATGAAATCACACATATTAAAGAATCTTCCATTGTGGTTGTTGAAGGACTTAAGAGGAAAAAGTTAAGAATATAAATGGTTGTTGAAGGTTGTTGAAGGTCTTACTAGTAGATCTAAAGAGGGAATGGTATATATTACATTGAAATGAGGCATGCATGAACTTAGTAGATTTCCCCCTCCAATTTTCCCTTTTCCCTCCATAAAAACCTCTCTAGTGTACACCCCAAGCGGAAGTGACTTTCGACTTGATGATGACTTGCTTTGCTGGCCAATAAGACAAAAAAACTCTCCAGCCTACACCCCAAATCGAATGAGTACAAAGGGTAAAAAGGGCAATGCTAATAAATACACTATAAAGTACATATACAATCTTGGGTTTGGGGTGTAAAAGCATGAAAAATTGAGTCAAGGTGCTTACAAGAGGTTGACTCTAGTTGGGTGGTGGGAATGCATGGCCTAATTAAATTTAGTTCCTCTAAGCAATTTTCCCTTAAAACATTCATCTAAATATAACTTCTTTTCGGGACTCCGTACGACGTTTATCAAGAGAGATATTTGATATTGATTTTTATAAAAGGTTTTTTCCATATATATCAAAATAAAATGCCACAATTCTGGAGAAAACTTTTGCAGATTAACAACAAATTTTACTTTTTTACATCATAGAAGTTGGATTATGATTGCTTTTTGTAGTCACATTCTTCCACAATTGCAGCGCATGAGCGACGTGACGTAAAACCTAATCTCTGAGAGAGGCCAATGAAACAAGGCCATGTGTACATTTAGAAGAGAGAGAAAAATTCAATGTTGAAGAATAAGGGATAAATTAGCAAATATCAAGATTTTGGAGGATATATTCACAAATATGGATATTTAGTTGGGGGGATGTATGCAAAAAAACTCTGTTCAAAGGTATGTAGTTACATGGGATCTATAGCTCTGCTTCTACTAGACAATGACTGACGATTTCAGAAAATTTTAAATTTTTTTGAGAAAAAAGATTAAAGTTTTGCCAAAACCATCGGTCATTCTTTTAGCAAAATCTTTAATTTTGTTATGCAGAATTATGACGAAGTTCTGTTAGCTTCTACATAAAAGTATGCAACTTCATGATAGACATATTAAATCTAAGTACAAGTTCATTGCCAAGTTAGCTGAACAGATCATATTCATTCTAGCGTTCATTTAATAGAGTTGCCTTTAAGTTTTAATAATTGAAAAAAAGAGATTTAGCATTGCCTTTAAGTTTTAATAATCGATAAAATATAAAGAGATTTATCTTACAAGTTCATGGAAAAGTTCACTATACGTGAAATATTTATACAATAGAATTGCACAGTGAATGTATTGTAAAAAAATACTTTAGTTGTAGAATGGATTCGGATCAATATTCCTGGTTAGCTGATAATTGGAAAGGGTCCAATTATCTCAATATGCACCGTCTATTTCAAGTTTAATGAATGAGAATAGACATGTGAGATTTTACTATCATCTTGGAAAACCACTTGTCATGAAAACCACTAATATGAAAATGATAATAATAAAATGCTATATCTCATAATCTCATCTTTTGATACTCAGGCACATATTGTAGTAATTGGACCTCTCCAATTATCACTTAATTAAAGAGAATTAAATTTTTTGTAGAATAGTCAATTATATATGAATTTTTTTTTTGAGATATTATATAGTAGAGTTGACTCTTAGAATCTAATATTTAATATAGAGGATTTATGTGTGAAATCTAATAGAATAAGGGTTATTTGCACTTTGATACTGTAAAGTTTACACAATTTTTAATTTTGATATCCTAAAGTTTTTTTTGACACTTCATCACCCCAAAATTTATAGTTTCTTAGACTTTGATACTTCAAAACTTTTTCTGACGTTTTAATATCCTAAAGTTTTATTTTGGATACTTTGATACTTAAAAGTTTGGGGTTTCAAAGTTAAAAACTTCGCGAGCTTTAAGGTATCAAAGTGCTAGTAAAAAAACTTTGGGGTGTCAAGGTCAAAAATGTTATAAGCTTTGGGTATCAATGTTTAAAATAAATGGAACTAATTTAGTGTATCAAAGTAGAAGTAATAAGATGCGCTTGTTTGTTAATTATATGAGCAAAAAAGATGTAAATTTGTACATAGCAAATCTATCCTAGATATCAGAAAATATCCCTTAATTTTGGACAATTATCAGATAACCCACCAAAACCATCAAAATATAGGAAATTTTATGGAATATGGATTATTTAAAAAGTCATTTTTAACTGTAAGATTTTATCAGGAAAACCCTACTCGCATTTGTCCTATGGGTGTGTAAAATTATATAGGTGGATATTTTTTCCTGCAAAATAGGTTCACATTTTTAGGGGGATTTCTGAAAAATCTTGAAGTTAAAGGGGATTTTATAAAACCCCTAACCTCAAGGGGGGATTGCTAATATTTTAAAAGTTATGAGGGGTTATCTAATAATTATCCAAAGCTAAGCGGGGTTTTCTGGTATTAAGCCACAAAATAGTCAAATCTTTATATAGAAAAGTTACATGCAACACTAGTAAATGAAAAGAGATGCCTATTAGTTAATTATATGTGAAACTTACTATAGGCAAGAGTTATATGTTATTAACTTATTCAAAGAAAAAAAATACTATACGAAATCATCATTATATAGTATTTATGTAATCTATAGGAGAATCAGTTCATGCTTATCCATTAACACAGTAGATTAGTGAATTATATCTCAAATCTTTATACTACCCAGGATCCTTTAAAGATCACATGCCCTAAAGCACACGTAATTCCTGTTATTTTCCCTGAAAAAGGTTAAACCAATTAAGCCAAATTATCCATTGTCAATAGAGGAAATAAATCAAGGGAATCGGTGTATAATTGTAAATAATTAAAGTTTAGGAGACATTGTCTCCGATCCCGCTCCTAATTGAAATCTCTCTCCCTCAAATATTCTATAAAACACCGCAAAAAACAATCAAAAGCTCACCCAAAAAATCAGAAGAAATAAATCAAAAACAAAACCATGGCGAGAAAAAAAGTTACATTGGCATGGATCGCCAACGACGCAACCAGACGAGCGACGCTGAAAAAGCGCCGCCGCGGGCTTTTGAAGAAGGTGAGCGAGCTCTCCGTCCTGTGTGACGTCCCGGCCTGCGTCGTAGTTTACGGGCCCGACGAGGCCCAGCCCGAGGTCTGGCCCAACGATGCCCAGGCCCGCGAAGTCCTCGTCCAATACAAATCCATGCCGGAATCTGAACAGTGCAAGAAAAGAGTGGATCAATCTGGGTACTTGAACCAGCAACTTTTCAAGATTCAAGAACAAGTCAGGAAACAGCAAAGGGAGAATTGGGAGTTGGAGATGAACATAAAATTGCACGAAGCTATAGCGGGAAAATGCAACTTGATGGACGTCGGGGTTGAAGATGCAGCGGTCTTGGCGAGGTTGATTGAGGAGAAGATGAAGACTGTGAAGGAGAAGATGGCGGCGGTGGCGGCGACAGCGGCGGCGGCAACGGGAGAAGGGAAAGGGGAGATGTTGATGGATTATGATTTTGGGGGGAGGTCTCGTTGCCAACCGCCGGCGCCGGCCGCGGTTCCCCCGCTCCGCCGCGTGTTGGGCAGTATATGGGAGTTGGGAGTTCGTGGGTGGATCCGGGATTTTATCCAATTTTCTTTGATAATTATGGAGGATTTTAGTGGATATATATAAGTAATGGGGACGGCTTTTGGTTTTAATTAGGGTTTAAATTTTAGTTTAGAGATAGTGCTTGTTTTTCTTTTGTGGGCCATGTAAAATGTAGTGGTTTGTCCAACTTTTATGGTATTACTAGTTGAGATGCACATACAATGCACATGTTTGAATATCATAATTATTTAAATTAAGAAAAATAGAATAAAAATAAAAAAGAAAACAAAATTTTTTATGGTATTGATAGAAGTAAAACTTTAATAAACTTTTACCAACCCGAAGTAAAACTGCAAATTACAAACACCTTAAAAATATTACAAAGAAGCAGTTGAGGAGCAACACTTGTACTTGAAGAATTGATAAACTTTTATTCTTTGAAAAATATTACAAAAAATAATATCATTAAGGTATGGTTCAACATTCTTTGTATCATAGAAATATAATTAAAAATATGAAGAATTATTTTCTTGCGAAATTAGAACAGAGAGATTATGATATATTTCCCTATGTGCTCTAAATATAATTTTTTTCTTTGATGCAAGGTCCTTATCATATCTTGCTCCAAATGATGTGAATAAATGCTATTATAACTTACCTGCCTAGGACAATTGTATTGTATATAGGACATATAACTTATCTGGAATATCCACATCTGCTAAGTGGATTTTGCTGCTGCAAGAGTAAAATGTTAGAGGTTTGTATTAAAATTTTTTGGCTCTATAAAACACTCAAAAATTTAGAGTGCATAGCTTATATAATATAAAGAACATACTAACTCATGAAGAATTTTTCTTAATAATATTATTATTACAACGATACTACTATTCAGTATTAAATCAATTTTATTATATAAGATTATATGAGCCTTTTTAATAAATTATATATATATA